GTCGTTTCTGTTTGGTGGGGGTCCCAAGTCGACGTTGGTTTGGAGGTCAGTGTGATGTTTGTTTTTCACGCATTTGGAACCATGGAAAAGGCCTGCCGCGAGCCTAGGCATGGACTTCATTCGCCGCTTTGACAATTTGCTGATAAAGTGGCGCCGAAAGGCGTTTGGCTACCCTATGCAGACCTTGGGGATAATTTCTATTCGTTATATGACCAATGCCAATTCCTTGTAATTTGAAACTATTTAAACTGATTGATACGAAAATATCCCTAGCACCGGGAGAGACCTATGGAATTGCCAAGTGCTTCTTAGTCCTGAAGGCAATGCGTTTTTTTGGAAGCCTCTTTAGACGGATTACAATTTCGTCTAATCACAGATAGGTGCTGCAATTTAAGGATACATTTAACATATAAATTTTTGTTCTGAAAAATACTACATTTTGGATTTCCATCACAACCCATTATCGGAGACGCTCTCAGATAGTATGCTCTTTTCACTTTCAGCAACATTCGCGAATAGCTGAATATCTTCAACAGAGCAAGTTCAATTTGGTCTTCCGATTGGTTCTGAGACGATTAATGAATTTTCCATACGAAACCCATAGCAGGAAGCTGCAGTGAGCCACTCTCTATTAGACAACCGGTTATTTGGACCAAATTTTGGAGATCATAAACGCGCTCCAGATACCAGCGTCATCTCACACGAAAATCTAACGGCTGAGGGCAGCAAAAACTGAATGGAGGGAGGTTCTTAGTCGAAGTAGACGATCGCATCAGCTCTGGTGTTTATAGATAATTATATCATTCCTTAACAACTCAAGTCATCGTCAATCGATCGTATACAGTCAAGATTCTGAGTAAAATTGTATAGTAACTGGAAACCATAGCTTATTTATTTATCTAAGAAAAACGGCCAAACAGCGTCATAGGCAGCTCATAGTAAATAAAAGCTTCTTGATTCGCAATCGCACCACGCCAAAATAGGGGGGTCGAAAGAGGCCAGAAAATATCACAAAATTGAAAACATCAAAACAAATCAGTTTCATTAGGCCAGTAACGTACTCTGTTGCGACTATTTTTGTCCAGATTTGACAGATTAATGCTAAATTCAGACAACATGAGTGCACGTTATTTTTACTAATACTGCTGTAGCTATTTTTAAATTTCTCATAAAAATTTTTCCATAAAGCCGATGTGTCTGAATTGGTTTAATAGTATACAGAGGCTGGATTGGCATTGTAGCCCCATTTAAGCTATATATCCTTTTTGGAAACACAGTAAAGAATTAAGGAAAGATTTCATCAGTTCCCCGTCTATTTGGGCTAACATAAAGGCCTATTATAACTTTTTCTGATTAAGTATTAATGGCGTTTTTGAGAGACTTAAACAGTTGATCAGACTCAATAAGGAAAGGAGCGGTGGTATCCATTATTCGAATCTGCCATAAAAAATAACGTTAAGTAATTGAATCTCGTGAATATCATCCAGTGGATTCTCGGTTGATTGTTTAGGATGTCCTGCTTGGACAATCAGCTTTCTCATTCAGAATCGGGGAGTATCATATGTTTAAATAGGCTGGATGGGTACGTTAACAGGTGATTAACATAACGGCTTTTAGATAAAGCCTCGTAGATGGTTGGGACGTTGACTGCACTCATCACTAAGTTCAAACAAATGTTCACTTGCGCAGTTAGGCTTTAGAACATTAACTGAGTGCTGTACGCCTACTTAAAATTAACTCCTTCAGGTGATAGGATATTACATCGGTTTCGTTGTTCGCATAACTTGTGTTCAGGCAGCGTTTGGATGGTAAAGAACTTAATCACATTCTATAGGAAAAAAACATATGCGCCGTGTTCCTTACCCGTACTGATATTGTGCTCAAGTGCTTCTGTGAACTTTTGAATAAAAGGCCATGTTTTGTTTATTCTAACAGAATTTGGCTTCTTGGATGGAAGTTGTGCCACCGTACAAGCAGGAAGCTCCTAAAACGCCGCCCCATGTGATATTGCATTATGTGGCCTTCAAGACAGCCTGGGATTGGATGATTCTGTTTCTGACGGGCTATACAGCTGTCATGGTGCCCTTCAATGCTGCCTTTAAGAGCAAGACCATCGATGACGTCGTTTTCCTGGTCATTGACAGTATCGTTGACGTCATCTTTTTCATCGATATCGTACTAAACTTTCACACTACATTCGTCGGCCCCCAGGGTGAAGTGATTTCCGATGCAACTGTGATAAGAATCAACTACCTGAAAGGATGGTTTATCGTTGACCTTCTATCCTGTCTGCCGTACGATGTCTTCAATGCATTCCAGCCTGAGGCAACTCAGGTAATCACACTATTTTTTTGCTCACCGCCTTCTGACAGTAAGTTCACAAGGCCCATTTCTATTTTAGTCAATTAGGCATGCTGCCAAGCAATTTAATATTCTCGCCTTAACTATTAGGGAGCCACAAAGCCATTTCTTTTTTTAGTCGTTAGTATTCAGCGAAAATAAATCCTCAGGATGTAGACTCGGACATCGACTTTGAGTTATTTGGTCCTTAAATTGCGATAGCTCGGTGAACTCTACCTTTTTGTAAACTATAAGCTCCATTCAGACAACCGGTATTACAAAATGCAATATTAGTCTCATTTCGTTTTGTGGACAGAAGATGATTTCCTGAAAAATTTGCCTAACTCTGTTCACTAACGCCCCGAAGACCTATCCCATGCATCTCCATAACGTTTGGAGTTGTCACTGAAAACACAGAAGCGCGTTGCAGGAAGACATGGTCCCCCGAACACGAACTATATTTGTATGATGTTCCGAATTCCCGCTCCGGTCCATCATTAGAAACATCATACTTCAGAAATTTTAAATCTGAGTGCGGATCTAAACGCCGAAGAAATGTAGCTCTTCTTCTGTTCTACACAAAATGTTCAACGTGAAGATATGAGCAGGATAATCGAACTTCCAGCCGAAGCGCCAGAGAAAGAAAATGAGAATAAAATCAAACCTTTACGTTCTATAATATAATAGATTGCTCAAAGTGCGGAAGCAAACACTTTGGTCAAACACGGTCCCAAAGTAACATTTTTTTACGAAAGTACGCTTTCGAACGCCCTCGTAACTTATTACCTAATATACCATATATCTACGTAGGCGTTAAATATATTTAGTATTTGGAACTAAATAAGTGATACTTTTAATAATATTTCGATTAAACGAATGGTCCTATGATCATGAAACCTCCTTGATGCACCTTAGGTAGGTCCTCGTTATGATTATTTGGTTCGTAAGCTCAAAAAACTGAATGTGCAACCCTAAAATTCTTGAAACGCATGCATCCTTGTGCATATTTCGCTTTTTCATTCCTAAAAACTGGTTACCTATTCAAAGGTTCAGCAATTATACGAGAAAATAAATTTCAGTACCAATGTCAAGCAAACTCTGTCAGGTAACATAAGCTAATTTTGAAGAATTGCTGTAGAAGATAGATTCACTTTCTAGAAGAACACTTCACCCTCTTAAACTCGGTTTCCTATTTTAAGGTTCTACCCTTATGAGCAATGCTCTAAACGCATAAAATAAACGCAAGTTTGCAGAGAAAATTGAATGACTTGTTCCGCGTTCCCTGAGCACATGTGCCCGACCTAACAAACGCTTTGTAGTGCAGCATTAACGACCCAGCCTGCCCATTCTTCCAGGCCTAACTTTATGCCTCGGTAACTGGCTTTACCAAAAGCAAGTGTCGTGCATGCATTTGGAGCAGGAAGTCGTTGTGGTCTAAATATAAATCCTAATTCGCACGCCTCATGGAACAGAATAAATGCTGTGTGTGAGTGTAACGTTTGAAAATGCGCTCAGGACCTCCCAACTTTATTGGAAATCATGGAAGTGGGCGTTATATACATGGAACATGTGCGCCGTTTTACACACTATCAGGCTGCATTTAGCTCATTTCAAGATTTAAGGCATAATTGGCATGCTCCTAAGAGAACAGAAGCTACCCTTTTGCTACTTAGCCTAGACACAATCATGATAGCTGTTTTTTTAGTTCTCTAGCTCTACGAATTCGCCCACTCTATTTAGGTATTCGTCGGAGGTTCCTATCTATTTTGCAAAAAAGAGGTCTGGCTTGTATACAACCAACTAGATGCATGTATGTGCCTAATAGGCTATATATAGTTTACTCAAATGGAGACCATTTTAATTCTCATGTAATTGTTGTTGTCGAGGTAAGAGGTGATAAAATATAACTCCCTCGCTAGCTTGTGTTAGCGAGTGGAGGGTAAGATTTACGTTCGCACGTAACGCTTTAAGGTGGACTAGGAGTATCATGGGCCGTTAATGGCAGTGAGTGGAAGTCACGGTCAAAGACCGGCAAAATAAATTCGAACCAATTTTCACTTCATTTTTTTCGAGTGCCACGACATTTCTTGCACGTGATTACGTGCAAAGAACGTTACAATCCACCACAGAGCATGCGCGGAAGTCATAGTGCATGCGGGAGAGTCGCGGCAGGTCTTTCCTCCGAAAGGATTGCTTATAGTGGCTCACACATAGTACCAAATGAGTTAATAGGCCGTGGTATTTGTGCTTTTGATTAAGGCTCCTTTCAAACCAGGCGAAATTTAACCATTTGGAGAGCATTTATTCCGTAGCCAAGGTTTCTGAGAAAATGAGTTAATTAAACGGGTTTCCATGCGGTAAGCTATGATTACATTAGCAAAGTAATCAATAATAGAATATGTATCAGAGACTGTACCTCAGCTGTGCGTATGGAAAGTGATCAGCCAAAAGCTAAGACGTTATTGGATTCCAAATGCCAGTTAATAAACGTTTCCCGATTGAGGGCAGATGGAGAGTTGGATTCTGCTTTCAATACTATTATCGCAAGGGTGTTAAGGCTAAGCCGGTTAAACCCTAACTACTGCGAACTTCCAGGCCCGATTCCTTAGAAGAAGATAGAGGTCGTGGAAGTACAGATAGGAGAGTGTATTCTGTACAGAATCAGTAGGAGAAGAATTAACGGAAGGGTTGACTCGGCCTGGGGTGAAGTTCGACCATGGGGAGCGAGAGAGAGAGCGCCGCAGCCTCGCGTCCGTCGCGCACCGGGGCGAAAGGCCCTTGCCTGTTGAATGGGCTTAGTGTGAAGTGAT